CCTCATCAACCTATACATCAAGCTCTACAAGTTTCACCCGCAACACCTATCGCACGACCACCTCAATTTACCCAGCCATGGAACCAAAACTCTAGCCATATGAGGTCACAAAATACCCAAGATTAGAAACCATTTGAGTTTGACCCTATCCCTATGTCCTATACTGAGTTGTTGTCTCTCCTACTACAAAATTCACTAGTAGTACCTTACCTGATGAAGCCCGTAGAACCACCATATCCTAGGGGATACGACATTAATGCAAAATGTGATTATCATTCGGGAGCTATTGGTCACTCCCTTGAAAATTGTAGAGCACTAAAAATCAAGATACAAGGTTTGATTAAGGCTGGGTGGTTAAACTTTAAAGAGGATAATCCTAACATTGAGAACAACCCTCTACCAAGTCATGGAGGGCCGACAATTAATTCTGTTGTGAAGAGTAGATGGGGTCCCTCTCAGTGATCTGTGAGAAAGCTTTTGGTGTGATGGGTTTGAGTTTCCAAACTCAATAGCTGTTGTTGAGCAAGACTCTTGCGAGAATGAACATGCTAGTCTGGTTCACGCTTGTCCATTGAACGTGGAACTTAACAATTAGGAGATTGTCAAGGTGCCTGTTGGTTTTTAATTCAAATTTTAATTAATTTTCTTGTAATGTCAGTCTTATTGCTCTGCCCAAGGCTCTTTCCTGCCTTGGTTGAGAAGGAAAAGATTGTTGAGAGGTTGGAGGGTGGTGGTAGCAGCGGCAAGGCTGCTAGAGTTTAGAGGGATCATCCAGATCTAGGAGGGGAGATCAGCACAGAGGATCCTATGACAGGCCTGTTCAGTCTCAAAGGGGTGCTGTTAGTAGGGGACCTCATCCTGCTACTCCTCAGGGTGGAGCACAGTCAGTGCAGTGTTACAGATGTGGAGAAGTCCACATGGTTAGAGATTGTTCCCATTCGGGGAATTTTTTTTAGATGTGGCAGGCCAGGTCACATTTATTGAGATTGTCAAATGCCATCGACTCCATCTGGAGTGTCCCGAGGTCAGTCAGGCCTACGGTTGCGGAGAGAGTGTTTGCTTTATCAAGTGTAGAGACTTTCACTTCATCAGATTTGGTGAAGAGGAAGGGAAAAGCAGCAGGTGAGGATGTTTTGTTCCTGTTTGATTCTGGTGCCACATATTCATTTATTTCTGTTGATTGAGTGGGGAGATTGGGTTGTCGGTGTCTGCATGGCACGTTGATTTGTATGTATCTACTCTGGCTTCAATTTCTGTGTGACATTGGAGATGTGTGTGAGATGCCGATAAAGGTGTTTGGTAGGAGGTTCTGAGTTAACCTGATTGTGTTGCTCATGGTAGATATTGACATAATCTTAGGGATGGATTGGCTATCTGCCCATCACATCCTTATAGATTGTGCTCGAAGAGAGTTGGTATTTCCTCAGTTGGAGGATGAGGTGTTGTTGTCAGCGGGTCAGGCTGAGTAATTGATGAGAGATGGAGCTGAGTGCTTCATGTTGTTTGTCGCCTTGAGT